TTGTACATGGAAAAAAAATCAAAGATACTTCTTTCTCACTAGTCATTTATGCCATATGATTTTTTCATGACTGTTGATTTGAATACTAAGTTCATGATTGTCATTTCTTGTGTAGCAAATAAAATTCCACAGGAATGCCCTCCGTTTCTTTTACCTGTGAATCTTTCCATAGGCATATTGGCTGTTTCTCTTCCTTCAGTCTTGTGAACAGTGATACACTCTTTGTGCTGGCTGTCTGTGGGGGAATTTAGGACCTGTGATTAAGGACCCAGTTTTCCTGTGATGGGTAACATTGTAGTTTAAGATTTTTGTTTTTAAAAACTCTAGAATGAATTCTCTCTTTTGTCCCTGTTGACATTCCACTGTGGGTGAATGAGAAAACTACTTTTCCATTCCCTCATCTGTATTTGTTGCATCCCATTTTCTTTTTCTTTGTTATATGAAACAGGGCCTCATTGTGCAGTTCTAGATAGCCTACAACTCATTATGTAGACCAGGCTAGAACAGAGTCACAGATTCGCCTGCCTCTGCCTCTGGGGAAGTGGTATTGAAAGTATTTCCACCACGCCTGACTTGTCCATTGGTTTTCTTCATTTTAGCCATTCTGACCAGGGTGAGAAGTTGGTTTTGAATTTGTAATTTCATGAGTAAGAACCATGATCACTTTAGAACATATATTTGTCCGGCTCTAGAGCTGGCTCAGCAGTTAAGAGGACTTGTTGCTCTTGAGAGGATGTGCTTTGCTTCTCGGCTCCCATATGATCATGGTCCAGGAGATCAGTTTCTCTCTTCTCTTTCCTGGTTTCCCTGGATACTTATTTGGTGCACATCCATCATACTTACAGGCCTAATATGCATACAAAATAAATAATTGTTCTAAGAATTAAAAATGTTGGTGCTTGTTGTTTTGTGAACCCTGTCTCATTTTTGGATTATGTCAGTTTTAGATAGTTCGGACTGCATATGTTTACATTAAGCAGCTCTTTGTGTGTTGTACAAATTAACCCCTTGTATGGAGAAAACCTGCTAAGTATTTATTTCCCTTTCTTAGCTGCTACTCATTCTTCTTGTTTTTCTCATTCTCAGACCTTTGCAGCTTGTACTTCACAAATTCTCTTTGTCCTTCTTTCCTTGTTAACCTCTGTGCTCCTGGAGTCTCTGACAGTGTTTGCCTATTTCTGAATTATTAAGCGTTATTAATCAAGTTTTCCTCTAGTACTTTTAACATTTCAAGCTTTCCAGGAAGTTCCTTAATCTAGTCTGTGTTGATTTCTGTGGAGAGTGAGAGATACAGATCTTCTGTCACTCTTCTGCACATGGACAATCATTTTTCCAGCACAGAATGTTCAAAGGCTCTCTCTTTTTGAGTTTGTCTTTGACATATTTGACTTTCAGTGCCTCTCTGCTATGTGTGTTTATTTCTGGGTTCTTTGTTCTGTTCCATTTTCTACATGTTTCTTCATGTGCAGGGCCATGCTGCTTTTGCCTTTGTGTTTCTGTATTATGATATATGGTCAGGTCCCCAGGAATTCTCTTTCTTGGCGTTGGTGTTGATGTGTGACTTTCCTGTGTCCTTGTAACTGTTTCATATCAGTAGTTTGCTGATGTGAATTGCATTGATCCTGTTGATTGCCGTTAATAACCATTTTATCATGTCATTTGTTAGTGAAAATGTGTGGTAGTTGATTTTTTCATTTTTTCCTGTACCTTAAAATATTCTTTCTAGAAGTGAACTCTGAAGCAACCTGAAATGGTTAAGTTTCTAATCTCCTTCTCAAATTGTCATTATTGATATACATGGACATGAGTGGTATGTGTGTGTGTTGGTGTGTGTGTGTTGTATATTTCAATAATACTTAAAGCACTTAAGTCTAAGATTTTTCCCATGGTGTTTGGGAAATTTTGTGTGTGTTCACATCATCACTAAAAGTGAGTTTAATGCCTCTCTTACCTACCTGTACCTCCTTTTTATTCATTGTCTGATTCAAACTTCTCTAGCTCACGCTTATGGCTCTGGATTAAATAAGTTTGGAAATATTTAATCTCATACACCATCTCTTCTTATAGTGTTCCTGCTAATACTATTCCCTTTTTCTCTGCACTGTACTGTTGGCCTACGTGTGGGCCTAGGTGTGACACATGTGCCCTTTACTGTGTTGAGCCATGTTCCATTTCTTCCTAGTTCCTTTAGAAGTTTATCACGGGATATTGTTAATGTTTGTCTCATGACATTTCCATTTCTACTGAGATTTTTATTTCATAGGGCTTTCATTTGTGACATTTTTGGTTTTTGTTTTTAATGTTCTCGTGGGTAAAATTACCAGTAGTATTTCTCTTACCTCTAGTTACAAATAGTGGTTTGCTGGTTTTGGGTGATGGACATGGTCTGATACTCCCCACTTCTCCTGTACTTATCTATTCCTCAGGTCGATTGTTTTATTTCCTGTGTTCTCTTGGGTAGCTTCTCTCCAGTTTGTCTATGTATACTTTTCCTCTAGTTATGATCTGAAGTGCTGCTTGACTGCACAGCTTGTATTTTTCATAGTTTTCTTCAGGTGAACTTCCTTCTCCATGAATTTTAACAGCCAATATTTCTGAGTAAACTATGGTTCACAGTTATTTTCTTTTGCCACCTTAAATATATCTGTACTGGCTGGTTTCCTGCCTCAACTTGACACAAGCTGGAGTTATCACAGAGAGAGGAGCTTCCCTTGAGGAAATGCCTCTCTGAGATCCAGCTGTAAGGCATTTTCTCCATTCATGATCAAAGGTGAGAGGGCCTATTGTGGGTGGTGTCATCCCTAGGCTGGTAGTCTTGGATTCTATAAGAAAGCAAGCTGAACAAGCCAGGGGAAGCAAGCCAGTAAGTAACATCCCTCCATGGTCTCTGCATCAGCTCCTGCTTCCTGACCTGTTTGAGTTCCAGTCCTGACTTCCTTTGGTGATGAACAACAATATGGAAGTGTAAGCTGAATAAATCCCTTTCCTTCCCAATTTGCTTCTTGATCATGATGTTTGTGTAGGAATAGAAACTCTAAGACAATATCCTTCATTGTTCTCTGTAGGAATGTTAATAATTTTACATTTTAAATATGTCTTTGAGATAATCTAGCAAGTTAACTTTAATCTAGGAGTCACCACAGTAGAAGATATGGTGTAGTTAACACATGGTGACAATGTTCTTATAGACACGTTTTATAATCATGTAAGGGAAAGACATTGACAAAGTGGTAGTGTTGAAAGCAAACACCGGATTCGGTGAAGTCTCAGATAAGAAGGGAGAGGGGAAACTAGTGTTGGATAATGCAGAACCTCTTGCATCAAGAGAAGGTGATTTCCAGAGAAGAAGACTCAGTCCTAAGATCCAGTGGTTATCATGTCTTCTTACTTCCTGTAGCACCAGGTACAAGTACGAGAAAAATAGTACATGCAAGAGAAACACAGATATACTTCAATAAATTTAGTTCCACTTCTTAGGCATTCATTTTTTTCTTTAGTATTCAGGTTTTTGTTTTTTGTTTTTTTGAGGTGTTTCTGTTTGAAAGTTTGAACCTTGAGTTTTGAATCCACTCTTTATTGTGATTTCTGGTGGTTAAGAAAGTCCTTATTTGTTGCTATAGAGCTTTTCGTGTTATCTCGAGGTCCAGTTAACACTGAATAAAGGCCACCGTGTTTCCCAGAATGTCTGGATTTGGCATAGTATTACAATCTATTGAACATTCTATTTTGAAGCTTTTCATGACACATTTTTACACATTTTCCTCTTGGAAACAAGGAAAGAGTTGGGGATTAGATTGGGTTCATTCCTTTGCCTCAAGCTGCAGTCATCTCAGAAGCCTCTTGGCAAATCGCAAGTTCGTATAAGCTACAATCTGCCACAGAGAAGGGTTGAGTACCAGAGTCTAACTGTCCTTATACCCTTGAAGACCACAGTGACCCAGTTAAAGAATACCAGGCCTTCTTGCTGCAGGCTGCTCATTTGACCTCAGTACAAAGCTGAGCCTAAGTTCAGTTACAGCTTTTCATGCCCGTGTTGACTCCCTATCCTATACACAAGGCAGTCACATATATGTTGATTTTCTATATTAAGCGTGCTGAACAGAGTAGGCTAACCTGCCCGTGGAGAAAAAAAATTACCGAAGCAGCAGAATTTCCCACAAGTCATTGCTAGTACAGAGGGAAGGGAGGAACTGGATTTTAGAACAGAACTAGGAATGTCGCCAACTTCAGGATCTCTGCAGTGTGATCAATGGACGTTTGCTGTCTTCAGAGGCAGAAATAGCGTGGAGGACGGGAATCTGAATGGGGCAGAGGAAGTGGGTGGGAGGGAGTCACAAGGCACGTGACCTGAACAGGTATGTGATGGGTGGGGCAGAGGAGGCACGGAGGAACGGAAGGAAGTAGGAATTCGGACACTCGCCATTCCCCCGGGAACTTAGGGAGCATCCTGCTTCAGAGCGGGGATTGTGAAGGACACAGGTTGGGGTCTCGAGTGATTGTGAAGACTCTCCGCAGCCACAGGTGCCACGCGGGGCGTCCTGGGAAAGTCAGCAGAGCAGCGGCGGGAACCGCTGCCAGGCGGCCCTTGAACCTCTGAGGTCAGAGGAGCTGCGGGGCTGGGAAACCGGAGGGAACCAGACCTTAAGGGATTAGTTTCTCCGCTGCTTGCAAGGAAGCCAGCTCTGAAACTCTACTGTGGATGTCTCACCCTTATCGATAAATTTACATTATGTGATCTGGGCCTTATATTGATTTTTTTCATTCATTTTATGGTTGCCAGGATATTTACAGAACAATTATCTGTTGTTGGTAAACATGGTTCTCTTTGCACGCCAACTCCCTCCCTCGTTTTACTACTTTCCCAACCACGAAAGTGGCCTTAAGAGAGTGGTCTTTTACCCTGGGGACTAGGCATCCCCAAGAACTCTTTAGATATTAGTTCACTGCGAATTTGATGGAATCAGAAAGTATATTTTACCAAGCTTTATAGTTATGTCCGTAAATGTTAATGTTTACTAAGCAAACTTTTAAAAACTATTTTATTTACACTGGTGACCTGCTTTTCTGTACGTCTCTGTAAGAGTGTCAGTTAAGTCCCCACTTATTTTCCATCTGGGATGTAAGCACGCCAGGATGTAAATGCAGCATTCAGAAATGTGTTTTCGTATGTTTAATTCTTAATTTACAGCTTAGATTCTGGAAGAATCACAGCATGTATGCATGTTGTGAAAGGAGATCCGGCCATACTTTTTTTTACAGCTATAAAACACTAGAGTGGGACAAACTTAGAAAGCATCTCTTAAATAATTCTGATCATGAAAGTATATGTGCAATATTTTCTCTTCCTGTTTCAAGAAAAACACTCTTCCCATGGACACATAGCCAAGTTGACATGGTGGTGTTCGGGTTTGACTTTGTTTGGCTGAGTAAGTATTTCAATTCTCCCCTGTCTAAGAACTCACCATATATACCAGCCTGCTTCCACATGGAATATCTATCTGCCTGCTTCTACTTTCTGAGTGCTGGCATTAAAGCAGTGTAGAAACCTAGATGGCTCAAACACTCACTCTCCCCCCCCTTTTTTATGTTAATTTCACGGTTGATTGACAGCCAGGGTTGTGACTGTGGAATACTCTCAGGAAGCCGGGCAATGCCTGGATCCTGCTCAGAGGGCTTTGTCCAGAGATTGGATGATGCTGAATTGCAGCAGTCTCTTTGTTGTGGGTGAGAATAGTTTGCTTGTAGCACCTTTGCTCCTAGGAATACTATTCTGCAAGTGTGTGAGCTTTATGAGAATGAGTGTCCTTTTGGGTGGTTTAAGGCTTCTGTCATTTTTGTTCCATGACAGATTCAGAACTCATTGGTGTGTAATACTGTCATCCCAATCTTTCAGCTTCATTTCCACCGTTGTATTTTGATTGACCTGTGATTAGAAGTGGTGGGACTCCAGGTATGCTAACTGAAAAGGTTCTCTAAGTATTTTCAGTATTCTGACCCTGCGTGACACCTGGGTAATTGTTTGTAGAACCCTCTATTTTATTTTCTCATTATCTATGGAACATAGTCCTGTGTTAGAAATTCAGGTGGTTTCTGAAACATCTCTTTCTTCTGCAGGTCTCACTCATAAGCCAGAGCTGCTCCCTTTTGAAGCAGAACAGAGAGGTCTAGAAGGTGGAGGGGAAGGACACAGAAGCAGATATACCAGGTATTTTAGAGGGACTGAGTTAGGTGTGGTGAGAGGGTCAAGCGAGATGGAAAATGGTATTGGGAGAGGCACTGTTAAGATGGTTCAACAGTTAATAGCCATTTCTGCTCTGAAGAGGATATGGGTTCATTCTCAGCATCCACATACTGGCTGACACCTATCTATACTTTGATTCCAGAGGTCTGATGCCTTTTCTGACCTCAGTGGGCACTAAATATGAGCACACAGCACATATAT